TAAATAATACTGTTTTACATGTGAAATCTCGAAACATTCATCACTCCTAAAGTACTTACCTATACAGTAGATTTTGGTTGATCTTATTCTTGTCTTTTTAATATTTTTTCTTTTTTATGTTCCATTTGGTTTCAACAATTGAAACTTTCTTGATGTACCATTTGGGATTTTATAATAATTCTGTAGTGACCGATAAATAAATTTTCTATTTATGATGAAATATTATTTCAAAACTATCTTCTTACGAATGTTGGCAAGTTGTTCAATGAGTCCTGCTTTTCTTAATGCATCAGGTCCATTAGCTACTCCAACTTTAGGCTGTCCTTTATCAAATGGAACTCCAATAACTCCTATTTTCACTTCCTTGGTATGAATACATCTTTTCAAGATTTTAAACGCCACTTTTGGTTTTGTAAACATCTCATTTATCACTTCAGTTGACCAATGTTGAGTTCTCAGTGAAATTTATTCTATAAGCTTTTATCACTTCTCTGTTATCGACATCAGAAGTTCAAAGGGTAAATATTATCTAATGTGCTTTTGTATTTAATGATATAAATAGACATAATCGATGATTCATTGAATATTATTGATTTCAGTTACTTCAGAGTTAATAGACTTGAATACCCCTGATTTTCATTTTATTTTAAGAAAACTGAGATTTGACTTGTGGACAAAAGGTTAACCATTTTTTATTTTTTGAATGATGTGATTGAAATGAAAATTGAACACATATTGTCAGAGGGAGCTATTCTTGTCTAGCCTTTTTCAAATATAGGAGTATTTGTATGAAGATGAATTTTACAAAAATACTTTATTTCACTATAAATTAATTATTTCACATTAATTGCTATTCTATGAATATATCAAAAATATCATCAAAAGATAAAACATCACAGTAAGAAAACAATTCAATAGAAATAACTATTTGAAAATAAAGCAATATTGATTATCATTGATAAATAATTGTAATTATCTTATTTCAAATGAATACCATGTGTGTTCTTAAGTTATATTTTGGAGTTACCAATTATGTTCAAATATTCCTTGGTTTCACTAAAAATTTACTGTACAATTTTATATACAATATATCTATGACGAAAAGAGCCACTAGGGGAAAATCAGAAACTGTGAGAAATATAAAGTTCGCTAAATTAGAAAAAAGTTGCCCATTTTAGCCCTTATTTAAATGACATTTTAAAATCGGGAAAATTCAGAATGCGTGGTATATCAGTGAAGCTGTTGCTTAAAAGGCTAACTTATAATGGGTGATTATTTTTTCCCGCTCATAGAAAAGGAAGATTAGTGATGGTTTTCAGGACATAAATCGTCAAATCGATGCCACTTTGTTCGGCTTCAAAAGTGGCAATGAAAACATATTTGGGAGAGGAAGACATCTCCTTGAAACTATGGAAACTCGAATAAGTAAAGCAAACCACGCAGAGTAATTTTTTAGAAAAGAATCAAATAAATAATTTCCAAATGATATGAAAAATTTCATAATGCACCACAATGTACAGTCCCTAGTAAACTGTGAATATGCTCCAAGAAGTCATAGAAAATTTCAATTGCCCTGTTTTATGCATAACAGAGCATGGGATACTCTATAATACTACACAGTTGATGATTTCAATCTAATATCAAGCCATTGCAGAGAGGAAGGCAAACATGGAATTTCAGCAGATTATGTGATGAAGATCTCCAGCAGTCACATTGATGAAATTAACGCTCTCTCAGAGGATTTTGCTTTTGAATGCTCTAGCGCAGCTTGCAAAATACTAGGCGACAACAAATTTAACATGGTCTGCGTATACAGCTCACCATTAAGCGATATAGGAATTTTTTCATCTAAATTTCAACATATGATGGACACATTACATGAAAAACACTGTGTATATTTTATTGCAGGTGATTTGAATGTCAAAAAAAGAAGAGATTTCAGAGATCTGCTGGCCAGCTACAATGCTACTATAACTATTACGAAACCAACAAGGGTAACTTCTCATTCTAGTTCACGCTTAGATAATATTATAACAAGTTTTGATGGATTTAGAAAATTGATAGTCATTCAAACCAGTATTTCTTATCATTCTCGACAGCTCTTGCTTTGTAATATAGTGAATTAGACTCACCTCACTTCTAGAATCTAGACACGATACTATAATCCGGAATCAATTCTGGAATTTCGTATGAAATTATCTACTGAGGATTGGTCAAATCTTTACAATGTAGAAAACCGAAATGAAGCATTCTCATCCTTCAGTAACACTTTCAACTACTATTTTAATCTCTATTTTCCAAAATCATATAAGAAGAAGAAGTTGACTATAAGTAAATTTTTCATGTCACCTGAGATTAGCCACATCAAAAATAAACTAGTTCTCTATGAATCAATATATCACATTGATCATCTGTATAAAAAAAATTTACAAGGAACTAAAGATCTGGAGAATGCCAAGAAAGATCATATAGGAAGAGAATTGTACAATCAGACAACAAAACCAAAACGATGTGGCAGATAATTAAAGAAGAAACGGATTCACTGCATTGTAATCAGATAGATACTGAAAATCTAGTAGAAATGGCTAATAGTTTTAAAAACCATTTCGCAAATTCTGCTGTCAAAATTTTGTCAATACAAAATATTATCGGTAAAGTGAGCGGTTTTGATACTTCGATAGCCTACAAAAATCACACCTTGTTTTTGAGTCCAGTCACAGAAAATGAGTTAATAGCAATTGTAAAAAATATGGAAAACAAAAAGAGCTGTGGAATTGATGATGTTCCAATACATATCATTAAAAGTTGTATATATGAAATAGTGTTTTAACTTGCCTGATAAACATGTCATTCGAGCAAGGAATTTTTCCTGATGATTTGAAAAGATCTATAGTGAAACCACTCCATAATAAAGTAAGTACGTCATACATTAATAATTTCAGACCAATTAGTCTTTTGACATGTACATCAAAACTATTCGAAAATGCAATGGCCACAAGACTAACATCTTCCTTATCAAACTTTAATATGTTTTCCAGTCACCAACATGCCTATTTGAAAAAGAAATCCATAGAGACAGCTCTTGTTATTTTAGTAGTGAAATTCTGGAAGTAATGGAATTCGAATTTGAGAAAACAAATCGTAGAAATGAACTTGAAAGATACAACAGCACAATCAGAGGCTTTGGAGACATATATGGGAGTTCCACAGGGTAGTATATTGGGCCCAATACTCTTTATTATTACTCTGCAATAAGGTTTTCATCATTTGGGGCACCAGTCATGAGCTGAACAGAGTAGTGGTCTGCCAAAAAAGTGTTATCAGAATACTCTTTGGTATGAAGGTCAGGGACTCATGTAGGGGAATTTTTAAAATGAACAGGTTGTTAACAGTACCAGTGATATACATTATTGAGTCATTGAAATTTTTAATAAATTAACAAAGGTACTTTCAATAGCATCATAAAACACACAAGTATGGAACCAGTATGGAACACACATGTATGGAACACAAGTATGGAACAAGTATGGAAATTTCTCATTCTCTAAAGGTATGTTCCCATCGTGTCTGAAAATTGCCACAATCATTCCTCTACATAAAGGAGGCGATCTTGACAACCCAGCTAATTTTAGGCCAATTGCTTTGCTACCCGTCTTGTCTAAAATCATAGAAAAACTGGTAAAAAAACGAGTAATATCCTTCCTCGAGAAAAACAAGGTGATAAATTTATTCCAATTTGGCTTTCAGTCTTCAAAAGGTACACAAGACGCCATATTTTCACTCATGGAAAACCTGTACACCAATCTGAATGACAGAGAATCTTCGGCGGCCATGTTTTGTGACCTAACCAAAGCCTTCGATTGTGTAGACCACATGCTGCTTCTTCGCAAGCTGGAAGTTTACGGATTTAGAGGATCGGCATTACTTTGGTTTGAGACGTACCTTTCTCATCGGCGGCAGAATGTTCTATTAGATGGAATTTCATCAGAGGAACGCTTCATTGACAGTGGGGTTCCACAAGGTTCCGTTTTGGGACCGGTGTTGTTTCTCATTTATGTCAATGACTTGGTCCATGTTAACATAAGTGGTAAATTCACATGTTTCGCTGACGACACCACTATCCTCTGGCATAGCAATACATCCTCCAATTTACTTGATCAAATCATCGTCAACATAAGAACGGTTAAAGAGTGGTGTGATTCCAATCTCTTATCATTGAACATCGATAAAACAAAGGTGATCACGTTTAGATGTAACATAGGGGAAGTACACTTGGAAAATGTAAAAATTGAAAATTTGGAGAAAAACAAATTTTTAGGGCTCTTCATTGATGAAAATCTAAAATTTGATTTCCATGTCGACTACTTATGTAAAAGACTAGCAGCAGGATGTCATGCAGTGAGAGTTGTTGCAAGAGAGTTGGACACTACTATCTCAAGATCAATTTATTTTGCACAAATTGAATCCTATTTACGTTATGGAATTTGTTTCTGGGGAAATTGTGCAAAATTTCGTTTCAATATGGTATTCTCTCTACAAAAAAGAGCCATCAGATATTTATGCAAGGCTAGCTACAGGGATTCATGCCGCCCATTATTTGAGAAGCAAAAAATTCTGACCTTAATATGTCTTTTTATTTTGGAAACAGTGTGTCAATTTGGGAACACCGCAACTTATAGTACACGTCAGTCTTACTCCGTTTCCCTTCCCACACCTTCTCTAGCCCTTACACAAAATTCTATTATTTTCAATAGCAAGAAGTTATTCAACCACCTTCCCATTAATTTAAGGCGAATATATAATGGAAAGAAATTCAGAAAGAAAGTGAAAGAATACCTTGTTGGGAGGCCCTATTATAGTGTGGACGAATTCTACCAAGGCTCTATTGAATAATTGACATGTAGCTTTGTGTAAACAAGTTATTGAAACCAACACAAAATGGCTATCAATGTTCATTATGTAGAATTATATATTTATGTTTACTTAATATTCATAAATTCATGTACTTATATTTGTAGCTGTTCAGCTGGACTTAATATTGTTCTGTCCATATACTCTGCTCCGGTGTTTAAGCATTATTTTATAGTTTATATTTGTTAATTGTCCCTTATACATGTTTTACTTTACTAGACTTTGCCAATAAGATGTTTATATCTTGGGTAATAAAGCATATTTTGATTTGATTTGAGATTTAAGAATGATTTTTTATATCCGATACATAAGAAATATCTGTATGAAAGAAGTACTGTTTACGGTGCAATTGAATTTTTTAACTCTCTCCCACAGGATATAAGAGACATGGCAGCATTTTTTTGAAGTCTGTGAACGAATTTTTATGCAATCTAGAGCCTTATACTATAGATAAATCTTCTAACAGTCTTTTTTAAATTTTAGTCTATACTTACATAGTATACTTACATGTGCATGTGAAGTGTTTTATTCAAATTTTTTATCGTATTATTGGAGAGTTTTTTTAGAAAATGTGTACACTATTCTTAATAATCAAGAAGCGACCGCGGCGGTGTTCTGTGACTTATCCAAAGCTTTTGATTGTGTGAATCATGGAATACTGTTGCAGAAGCTTGAGTACTATGGCATCAGAGACATATTGCCTGATAAACATGTCATTCGAGCAAGGAATTAACAATCCATATTGGTTTACATAATTTTAATTTCATTTAATTATCATGACTTCCTGCTCATTTTAGGCAGTTAGGATTTATGTACTATTATATTTAGGAGCTTTGTCAATAAGAATTCTATTCTTCAGATAATAAAGCATGCTTTGATTTGATTTGAGTTCAGTAGATAACAATATTACCATCACATGTTAAAATTGACTGGAAAATATTCAGTTCGCTTATTTACTTTTGAAACTAAAGAAGCACACATCACAAATCATTTGAATCTGACTTCATTCATTTCTCTCAATTTATATGAATACTAAGAGTTATTTGTTGAATGTTTCTGTATACTGCTGTATCAAATTCTCGAGGTGGGTGCAGTGAAATATTGTCCCTTTCGGTTCTTTTACAATTTTCTTTGGGAAAATATACCTATTTCCATCATATTCATCTATAGTACCAATAATTTTGATCTGAAATTTAAAATATATGTTATAAAATAAATATGGTATTGTGAAACTTACTATACTTCCCAGCTCTAGTTCACTGAATTCAGGAACAGAGTTTCTCAAAGAGGTTTTAGAAACATTTGTCATGGTTGCTGCTTTCATGGTAACACTGCTTGCACTTTTTTCAATCGAAGAATTTGAGTCCTCGTCTTCTTTAAGTATTGAGAGATGATCTTTTGATATTATACATTTTATACAGCTCGTCCCATCATCAACTGAAATTGATCAATAATTTTGGAATGAATATTTTTGTATTTGTTTATTTAATGGAAATTTCATTATACCAGTTATAATAAAGAGTCTGAAACTATACATAAAGTTTTTAAGAAGCCTTAGTTCAGAAACAATAAATTCAACTTATTTTTTCTGTAATTTATTAATAAAATAGTAGTTTGAGAAGTTAATTATACACAGAAATAATAAATTGAGAAATAGTTCTTATCATCTTAGATGGTCTGAAGGTGAACTAACCCTCTAAATAGAAAAAGAAAGTAATGAAACTTGTTCGTGTGATGATAATTGAATATCATTGTGAATATATTGACTCTATAATACTTCTTATATTTTTTTATTCTAATGCATTTCACCATTCCTGTAAGAATGAATGGTGAATCACTTTTCAGTATTCAAACCAACTTGAGGTCAAATTCAGGATAGAGATTTGATAACCAAGCATTTTTGTATCTATTGTTTGTTCAATTATACAGTTTTGATTTTATAATTTTATAAACGTACATGTCACAATACAATTAATGTTTCTAACAATTCAACTGTTATTCTACATGATATCTAACTAAAAATATGTAATAATTATTTTCAACATTGTCAGCCAACTATTACTACAAATATGAATGTTCCATCAAACCAATGAAGTAATCGCCACAGGTTTTAGATGCTATCTTTGAAACTTTTCTTAAAAATACAGTTTATAGAAACGGTTACATTAAAATCATTACAATCTTGAATAGACTTACCTATTGTATAATATTTATTGTTTTTCACATAAAAAGAAACTAATGTACCACAAATAAATACTTCAACATATGGGACACTTTTAAATAGAAAATATCCATTTTTTCTTTCTGAATTCAACAAATCTCTAATAAATAAATTTACAATTTTTCCTAATTCAGGTTTTGGAAGTTGCAGCAAATCAATTCTTGTTTTATTAAATCCGATAACTAACCAATCTGAAAAACAGAAATGAAAGTAAAATCAACTGTGATAGAGTTGTATAAATTATTTTTGAATTTGTAGGACTTATCTACCTACCAACCTACTGTATTTTTTAACAAGACTAACAAATAATGAAAATAGAGAAAGTGGTCAGTACAACCGAACTACATTTTATCTGAATTCTGGTTTATTGTTCATTATTTATGAAAATTTTTTAATGTTAACAAATACTTTAATCAACACTTGAAACATTGAGAAAATGTTTCCCTAAAAGTTTTCAATACTTGTTCAAGTTAACATTATATGAAACATTATCAAGAAATTATTGTAAAAAAATGAATCAAATCACATGGCTACATTCAGTTCGACTCCCACTATAAAAATTCACCAAAATAGTTGAAAATTAGGGTGTTGGAGCTCTTCATCAAACTAGTTTATAGAAAAAAAAAACAAAAAACTTTGTATTAGTATTTCATATTTAATAAAAAGTGCTTCACAGAGATATCAAAATGATTTTTCTGCAATACAAAAAACAATTGTATCTCATTGGTTGGTTAATTGAATAGTTAATTGAAAATGAAAGTTGAAATGATGACGTATAAAAAATATTGAAATATAAAATATCACATGAGAGTGTAAACTTTCACAGCCAAAGATAACTGTGTTAAAGCTATTTTCTGGGTTTTGCGGCTGTGATCTGCAAGTCGTTATGCCTGACGTTTTATTTACTACTACGGTAGAGATTATCATCAAAAGGCGATGAGGTAAGGGTTGAAGTGCTCAAATTGTTTTCAACATAGAGACTTAGTCCGGCCGTACACGGACCACATATTTGCAGTTGAGGCAACCACAATATTGTGGCCATTTTGACTGCACTTTTTGTGGTTGACTTGCGGTCATATAAACCGCACTTGCCGTTGAGGCAACTGACATCAAAAATTGAATGTTGTGAGACCAATATGTACGCTGTTGGGTACGACTGCAAGTTTGTGGTTAGTGTACGGCAGATGCCGCGATGACATCTCTGCGGAGATCAGCAGCAAGTTGACTGCAGAAGTCCGTTTTGACTTTTGTGAACGCCCGTGTACGTGTAGTATAGTATTTCTTATAGGCGGCTTGAGTTCGCTGGAAAGCGACTGCAATTGTGTGGTCGATCCGACTGCAAAATGTGGTTTGAAGGTGATTGACAATGTTTCGTGATGAATATTTCACTATCATTTCATTTCAGGTTTATTGTTTGCTTAATATAATTGTTATCTTCAGCTATTTTTTTTAATTATTCCTTTTTACTTGTTTCAGGGATTTCAAATCATTTTATATAGTAGACAATGGAAGTCCGAACTAGTGAAATGCAAAATGTGGCTCGTGTACAGGCGCTCTTATTAAGTTTCATATCCAGCTCTGTGTTTAGCACACTGTTTTTCAAAGTACATTTTGAAGACAATGACGGATATTGTTCCAGAAACGTGACTTATTTCAGGAAGATTTTTTTTGTTATTCAATTGCTCATTATTAACAGCCAATCCTTTTAGAATGCCTTAGAATTAACAGAATGAAAAGTATTACATAAGGTCATATGTGAATTATACATTATACCTCTTGTTTTCTCATAGATATTTGTCTCGTCTTCTTTACAAGAAGAAACTTTTACTTTTCCATGTTCATTTTTTGTCAAAATCCATCCTGCAATAATTCATATTTTGAGTGTACATTCATCATGAGAGTTCAATAACTTTACCTTCATTTTCTTCAATCAATTCATTAAAGGACTTATATAAATTGTTTTCATCCATTTATAGGTTATCAGTTACGTTTATTTTAAGGTTATAAATTTGAAATTCCACGGAATTATTGGCGCACGGAATGCCGCAATTTTTTTATATATCATGAATCATGACGTTACAGGTATTCTCGGACGTTACTGGTTGATACAAAACAAAACGTATATCTGTATTTGTACTACAGATTCGTTCGTTCCAGGCCACCCGCAATACGCTCAGGGATATGGTTGATTACATAACAAATTGAAACTAAGGGCTAGAGACACTGTCTAAAGATTTATTAGACAATGCTAAAGACATACAGTCGATTTGATCTAAAGTGCCTTAACATTTCATATTTCTGTTTCTTAAATATTTCTACTGCTTCACTTTGATGTAGAAATATCATGTTATCCCTCATCATTCATTTTGATTCCTTCTTCGAATAATGTGAGACATTGGTAATCCGTGCCTTGATCGTTTCGTTTTCAATGGTTCATTTGCAGGTGCTTTAACTTTTCGCATTTGTTGCAACGCCACTTCCTGAAGAATATGATACGATATGATATGAAACGACTCGCTCAATTTACAGATGGTTTGTATGAACATATTGATATTCTTCTTCAACGTTGCTTCTTCGTGAAAGTTTATTTTTCAAGTGCATTTTCATTCTTCCTGAAGTAATTTTCGCAGCCTCGAACTCCATTGCAGCATTCTCTAATACATATGCAGGGTGTTTTTTAACATGGGGCAAAAGATAAACGACTATTCCTTGGACTATTCAGAGGATATTTTGTTCTTTGATAATTTGTGATATAGCGCTGTTTCGAAGATACGGGGCAATTTTGGTAATTTTAAAATTATTAACGTAGCCGAAATATACGATTAGCGTACCACACTGAACCTACCAATCTAACAATTTCGTTGGTACCTATCAACAACATTCCGATTACTACAAAAACGGCTGCAGATATTCAATTTGAATAGTATGTCTTGTAGATGATCATTTGTATGTGTCAAATAGGTTGAAACTGATTGACTTTGTCTATTTGACGTGCATTTTCTGTGTTTATTATTTAAAGTCTTGTTAGTGAAGTCTGCTATCATGAATGGCTATATTAATGCAGAGATGGCTGACAAGCATTTCATTTATGGACTTGTCGATGGCAATTTATTGGAAGCTAGGCAGTTGTACAGTGAACGATTTATTCCTAATCGTGTGCCTAATAGAAAAACATTCGAAAGTATACATCAATGACTTTGTGAAACAGGAGCATTGAAGCGAAATGGAGGACCAAGAAGGTCAGTGATAGTAAGAACAGTAGAAGTAGAAGATAATGTGCTGTTCATGATAAAAGAAGATCCAAGTACTTCTACTACAACTTGGAATATTTTTATTTTCAACAATTCTTGTATTTTAAGAAACATTACATGTAATTTTTGGTAATAAATTGTTATTGTTGAAATTCTTTTTCGCTCCGTATTTTCGAAACAAAGTGTCCTATCAAAAATAATCGAAGGGCAAAATATCCTTAGAATAGTCCCTTAAATTTTTGCGGCATGTTTAATAAACACCCTGTGTATCGTTGGGCTACATATAACACGACCACATAGGCAGCTATAGCTACCTGCGTGACATCCGGTTCCAGGATGTAAATACAAATAGAGATTTTATCGAGTGTGCACGATATAAATCACCTATAGTTGTTGATGTCTGCTCCGTATTTGGCTTCTCTCATGAATGTTATGGGAGTATTTCCATTGTCTTGCAGTGGTTTCTTACTTCTCTGTCCAGGTGCTTGCATTTGCTGCTGCCTCGAACTGTCTATGGTATATACCCACAATGACTGGCTAACAAAGGTTAAGGCTTCAGAAGTTTACCTAGTGATGGTCTTGTCGCTGTTGGTATGCTGTCGTCAGTATTTCTCTGCCTAAGAGGTATCGGTTGACTAACCACGTGCGGGTATGCTGAAGTTGATCTTCCAATTTGTTGACAGGTCATTACATTTCAACCCACTTTTTCCATGACTGGCTTGTGACTTTTTCAAACTTACTGTCTATTTAACCTATAAAAAAATTCCACTTCATTTCAAACTTCTTTAATATAACCTTTCGCACTTATTTTACTTCTTTCAATATTTTTGCTGGGTGATTCGCACTTGTTTTTACTCTTTTGAGTATTTCTTGCTTGCACTCATAAATTTGTATAAACAGTCCATTTTTTTATTGCTTTAAATGCTCGAGCATTCTCGATTCTTTCAGTTCTTTTTTTCTTTTACGTTTTTGTTGTTTGTTTTTTTGTTACCATTTCTAGTTGCTGCAATTGTTTTAGGTATATTCTTGGTCTTCTTTTTTCTCCTAAGCTTCCTCCTCCTATTTTCTTTTTCCCTCTTTCTCTCCTTTTCATCTTGTTCTTTCATTACCTTCAAATCTCAATATCTGGGAACGCCTTTTCATTGTGTCATAATTATTGACATAGATTTTCACTATCCAGAATGAATTCGCTTCAATTTCTTTCTTCAGCACCACTACTCATTACGTTAAAGTCACCACTGCCACGAATGTTTGCTATTTTCCGACTACACATGGGTTTTTAATAAATATATGTATAGGTAAGCTTATTCAAATTTAATAACTTCATTCAACCACACAATTTACATCTGAAAAAACACTATACTTCATAATCGCACTATTTTACTTTTTTTGGTCTAATTCAAAACTGAATGTCTCTCAAAAACTTACTCTAAGTATAAGTACTAAGTACTTATACTCTAATCAATCGAACACTCCTGTTCTGCAAATTCATCTGGTCATTTGAAATTATTTCACGGGGCCTTCTTCTTTGTTGTTTGCACATTTTCATGCACAATGCCCGGTTATGTTATGCGTAGACTGTTCTCAAACTTCTCTTGAATGTAATGATGATATTTGAAGATTCAATGAATCATTCTTTAGATAGTATTTTTTTAGCTGCAGGGAAAACCCTAGAAATAATTTTACAAGATTTCACCTTGACAAGAGAGTCTTTATTGATCAAGTTATTCTGTCTTGTAAAGAATATACTCTATTCACCAAGACGTTATTGAAACCATTCAAAGCATAATAAACCGAATCAATGCTTGTATAACTGGAAAGAGAAGACGTTTTTTTATTTGTACTGACTATGGATCTTCAAATTGCTGCAGAAATTAATACCCACATGCTTATTTATGATTATTTTCCTAGTACTTAAATTTCCTTTCAACAATATTCTTTCATTATTCCCTCATAAAATTTGTATCACAATGTCAATAAATCATTTTCAAAAATACTGGAAAAATCCCACAGTTTTCTGCCAGATAAATTATTAATAAAAGCAATTATTATTATCAATATGTAGAATACAAAAACACAATCAGGCATAAACGTTTTTTAAAACAAATATGAATCTGAGAATAGACTGCAATGAAATATCCTCTTACAAAGATCCCATCTACGAAATCAATAGAAGACACATTTCATGAATATTGAAGATAAATGAGGCTCTCAGAAGATGTTCCTTACAAAGGCAATTTTAGACATTGATTGTCAAACTTAAATTCGCAATTTGCATGTTTTTTGTTTTCACTGCAAGGCCGAAAAACAATTCGTATAAAATTCTTCAGCTGAATCCCATTTCAATTTTGATTATTTTTCAATTGTATTGGGTTCAACTGAAGTATTTTCAAGAGTATAGTGTGTAAAAAAATGAGCCAAACGAAAGTAATAATAAAAATAGGTATATAATTTCTTCCTTCTTCCTGTACAAACATTAAGTACAAATGTTCCTAACTTACAATAAATAGTCAAACATTAAATAAAATTTGAATTCGATAAACAATCTTAAGAGGTCGTTACTATGTACATTTGTGCTCAGCTATCTAAAGGATCAGCTATTATAAGATCATCAGGTTCTGAAGTACTAATTGTTATCATCATTTTTTCTTCATTACTCGAACTATCTGAAGATGCAGATTGGGTTGATGTAGCAGCCTCCTGTAATAAAAAAGTTATATGATTATCTGTTTTCTGCAGGAACAAATTTCATTGAAAATGGAAGACGTTTCATTGAATTTTATTTTAATTCAATATATTTTTCAACTATTTAAAATTTTTTCAGCAAAAAATTCAAAATTACAAGAAATAACTCAAATATACTATCTAACATATATAATGATATAAATGTATTCAAAATATAATCAATAAAAAATAATGTATAAACTTCCTGAAATGAAAATCCCCTATAAGTATAATACTTGTAGTAAATCAATGTTAGTATTTCCAAAGGAACAAAATTTATATTGAATATTAATTTTTTCTAATACTTCTTATAGGTACTAATTCAAATAATAAAATTGAGGTACTAACATTTTCAATAGCGAATCAAGAATAATATGCACATCATGTGTGAGTCACCAATTTTTTACTTTTAGTGTGCATATACTGTCTTTGTTCAAGTTGTTTATCATCTGGCAGTGAATCAAATAAATTGATGGATGTAGCCGTTACTACGTGGTAGGAAATCATAATGAAAAAAAGAGAATTGAAACTTTTTGTTTTTACCACTTTTATTTGTAACTAACGTTACTGTAGTTTCGTCCTATAAGGACGTTTTCAAACTTATGCATTAAGTTTCAAACTTCTGGTTTTGTTTTTTTTTATATCTTGGGTACAATGAATATGATTCTTGAAATGAATATTTGTTTTATTTTTAAAAAGAAGATTAATTTCCGTAATAGTACATCGAGTTTTATATAAAGATCAGGACACTTATAATTTTCAAAAAAAGTTTATGAAAAACTTCTCGAGGATACAAAATTTTGTGTCGCACCTTTCCATCCAAGAACACCATAATTTAATTAGGATTCAAATTCTACCTATCACATCAGTTTTATTGTTTTACAAACTAAAAGATCTAGAAAAAATACTGAAGACTATACCTGTGAGTAATTTACATGAGTGATAGCATATTTGATATTGTTTTTACTATCTGTAATCCAAACTGGCTTCATATCAGTTTGTGGTTCAGGCTCCGGATCTGGCTGATCCTGTTCCCAGGCATCATCCTCATCTTGGTCATCAGTCAAATCTTGACGCTAAAAAGAATATATATTAAATCTTGTGAAACAAGTTGAACACTCACGAAACATATTTATACTCAAAATAGAAAGAGCTACCTTCTGATTTGTACTGTGACAAATAATGTTCAAAAAACTTATTGAATTTTGAGGATTGAACATAATAATAACGATAATAATGGAAAATAATATAATAATGTAAATGGAACATATTATATGCATCTGATTTCTTAAAAAATATCTACAAATGGAATACTATTAAATAATTGGTTTGTCAGCAAATTTCATCACATATTAAAAAACATCTGTATCATCTGAAATGCAAGAGACAAAGTGTTAAAATATATAGATAAGTTTCTAAGTTTTTAAACGTACCTAATCGTAAAGTATCCTTTTTTAAAATATAGAACATAAAATAATTCTGTGAAATATAATTTGTTGAAACATTAAATCAGAGTCCCTGGTTTCATTACAACCATTAAACAAAATGAGGTTCAGTGAAAGTTCATATAAAAATTGAGTTTCTAATGAAAGCAAAGACCTATTACATCTAATATATGAATAAACTTTTCGAGTAGAAACTAATTGAAATGAGCGACCGGTGAATGAATGAATGAGAAAAACATTCAATATAATTTATAACAATTTATCTAGAATTATTATAATGTACAAAAGCCAGAGAAATAGCAAATACTGTATTGCCACATTTTCGTAATTGTATATTATTCAACGAGCAAAAAATGTGACCTTTACTTGTGAGAATGAAGTTTGTCAATTCGAGCCGAAGGTAAGCGTCATAAATCATCCGTACGAGTGATGGCCTTTTTTACGAAGAATACTATACTTTTTCTATGAATTATAACAGGAATATTTCAAAGTAAGATTTATTTGTGAGTGATATCCTGAATGAATACCCGATTCATTTTCATAATAAAAGCAACCTAAAAAAGCATTCTAAAATATTTGCTATTTTTGTCATTTCATTCAACATCAAATATATTGAATATCAAGATATTTTTAATGAAATCCAATGGGAATTGAACCCAGGTTCACCGGCACTCAAGTTCTGTGCTCTAACTACTTCAACAAGCAGCTTACAAATTAGTATGACATAAAGTTTCTAGTAACTCTTATTTTGTTATTGAGAGATAAACTTTTGAAAATTGTAAATTTTCTAACCTCAATAGAAATTTCTGATGAGATACACCCGTTTTCAGTTCGAGTCCATGTTTTTAAACCTGTTTTTCGTTAAAAACGAAATATCAGTTCATTGATTAAGTTTGACATTTGTGAACATATTTTCAAGCAGAAAATTTTCAAGGCTAACTTGCGATTGAAAACAATTCTATAAAGTAATGAATTTGGTCGACTGTGGTCTTGAAGGTAGTGAGTTATGAATCTGGTCAATTGAGATTGGTCCAAACGTTTGAGTTATGAATCTGGTCAATTGAGATTGGTCCAAACGTATGAGTTATGAATCATTTTGCCTATGTACTCAACAGGAAACGGTCACATAATTGACACTTTTGTCAATAGTCAATAGCGAGTGAGAAATATGTCATTTTCTCACGCATTGTACACTGTACTTTTTCTATGGATGCTATACAATGTGCCACTTCTCTCATTCGTTCAAAACGAAAAATTTCTCACGCAGTGAGAAATAATTTCTCACTGTTATCACGATAACCCAAGTTAGTCATGAATTGTTACATGTCAGATTGATGTGACACGTTCTTCATGTTGACAACGACACGCCGACGATTCGCGTGCAATATCCAAGTAGCCCATTGTCGGCGTTTCCATAACAACAAAACCGAAGCACTGCATAATTATTGCTGTCAACTTACTCAACGAAAATAGTTTTATTGTTGATTGTTACAGTATAAACAGTTCAGATTTATTAAATATTGAATATAATGCAATACGAAGATTTAGAGTTGAAAAATACACCTCCAGAAATTGTTCAAAAAGCAATAGATGTTTGCAATAATTTGCTACCAAGCACATCAAGAGAAAAATATAAATCGCTTACAGAAACTTTATGAACTGAAAAATGAAAGCCAAGGTAAATTCTTGTTACGAACATACCTTGTTAGTTTATTTTGAAGAGTTGTCAAGAAGATTAAAATCATCAACATTATGGTCCGAGTACTCGATGCTGAGTAGTACCTCAATTACTAAAAACTGTGTTGATATATCAAAATACGTAAAACTACATGCATTTTTAAAACGCTAATCTGAAAAATATTCTCCAAAACAGTCAAAAACATTAACTTCTGGGAAAATTCAACAATTTTTAAAAGATGCACCTGATGAAAAGTATTTGCTGATGAAGATATGAATTGTTATCGAAAAATGAATGTTTATTTTTGATTTCAGCCTGCTTTAGTTATTGGCCTTACAGGGGCATACCATTGTGATGAACTTGAAAATTAAAAATTGATGACATGGAAGATCTTAATTCGGCCCTTTTAATAAATTTACCCGATATTAAAACCAAGGTTCCTAGAAATTTCACAGCCACAGAAGAATTCTACCAAATTTACAAAAAATATGTGAAGCTTCGATCATGCACAAATAAAACACGTTTTTTTTTTAATCACAAAAATAGAAATATTGAAATTTTTGCAATTACCGAACCCTGAATTATAAATTGGCCACTCTTTCCAAAGGTCATCTGCAACTATTTTAGTTAATGCAGGGACAGATCTTTCAACTTTGAAACGCCATGAGGGTTGGAAATCCAGCAATGGTGCTGAATCTTATATCGACAACTCCATAGCTAACAAAATGAAAATTTCAAAAAGCAGAGTAGAATCCATTCAGCCTCCAGCGCCATTAGAACCTGAACACAACAATGCTGTGGAAGCTCAGTACGTTTCCCCATCAACTTCAACTTCGACCACAACTAATATTTCAATTACCGAAAACATGATGAAACTAAACAACCTACCAGAAATTACTTTACAAAATTGTTCAAATATAACTGTTTTAAATCTGTTTTTTCAACTCTATTTTTCCGTTAATTAGCTGTTAATTACTATTTTAAATAAAATGTGAAAATGAGTTAATAACATACAAGTATTATTATATATGGATTTTAATTTTCAATACTTGAAAACAACACAACCATAGAAAAAGTACATTTTTGGCAATTGTAGTATCACAGTGTCAATACCAGCCTATTATTTTATTTATAATTGACATTGAACTTTCAAGTACCATGAAAAATGGTAATTTATGTCAAATAGTAAATAAAAAAGTTATAGAAGAAAGAATTTGTTCACTTGACAATAAATTAGCTGAAAAGATGCTCTTTATGATTTCTCAGCATATGATATTTCAAATGCCTTTTCTTTCTCACAAAAAATTAGTTGTAAATTATTTGGTAAAAGTATTATTTACAATAAAAAAAGGTCAAGTCATAAAGTATCACGTTGGCTTATATTACAGTAATAAAAAGAAACCTTTGATTCATCAATACTGGCTCTAGCCTCTGCCGTGATATGTTCTGTTCTGCCATATTCCTGTTTGGCTCTGCAGAAGCTTGCAGATTATTGAAATACCATCTGCTTTTATAAATCAAATGAAGTACTTGGAGATCTGGCACTCATCGAGTTTCATCTTTAGAGGTTTGTATTATCACTTCCAAGGTCGAAGATATACTGGTGCACTCGTTGGACATAGGTTATGAATATGGCTACTCCTGACCAATCAAGCAAACTAGTGGAAAAGAAGGTGGGTGTCTAAAAAATGAATCCTGTGCTCTCCAGAACTTAGTGCCTATCCTGCCATAGCTGATTTTTCCGTGTATCCCAATCTTCAGTTTATTATATGCTTTCCAGTTCCCAGTGTTGATCAATTGATACACGAATATATGTTTATTCTTTCAGTAGGAAATCCTAATGATTATAATAAATATGTAATTCCTGAGATGTGCAATAAAATACAATATGAACTAAAATATCAAATAAATGTACAATATGAATATTACTGGAGTTTTTTCCCCAACACCAAATCGTTATTTTTATCTTCCTCTTGAAGATGATCACTTGGTGATCGAAACACGTGTCGAGGTGTAAAAATAACGATTTGGTGTTGGGGAAAAAACTCCAGTAATATTCATTACTACACCAAAAGTTCCAAACAGTACATCACAAATTTATAATATTTCAAAGTAAAAATGTGTACACAAAAAAGCATTGAAAAACTAAATGCTTCAACATTGAAAAAAAAACTCACGAATATGCATCTAAGTACTAATAACTATGTATCGATATTATTTATCATTATTATGAATGAGATTTGGAGAGCACAGTATACTTTTCGAAGACATCCAACTTTGTGTATATTCGTCAAGCTTTTACAACTGGTTAGTTTGTGAAGCCATTGAAATTAACATACATATCAACAATTTCTATGGGAAGGAAGAAACAATGAAGATAAACAAAATATTGGACACCAACTTTACCGAAACACCAACAAGACTGTCCTGACTGACTTAGCAGCACCAGCCAAACAACCTCCATGTGATTGGTAATGAGTCACCATGAATATAACCTTCATCCTTCAGCCAGTTTGCCTTCGGCATTGGGAGTGATAAAACAAATCTCTAAAGATGCCAGCCACCTGCACCTGTGAAATGATGATATTGACATGTACCTGACTGGGAAAGGACCTCCATGTACAACTCATATGTCATAAACCTAGTATTTAAGTATTCTGATAATGTCCTCAACAAGCTAACCCTGAGCAACCACTGAATGTGGTGCAGAGGTTTTCCATTTGCAGATAGATTTTTGCAAAATTTTTAGAGACTCCTCTTTTAATCAATTTATTCATTCTTGCCAAGATCCAAATTCCAAATAAGATGTATGCCTTTACTTACTGTTATCCTCTGCTTCTGATGCGTCTTCAGATGTTTTGATAGATGATCCGACCTCATAAACTTCTTATTACACTCACTACATTGAAACCGTTTCTCACCAGTATGTGTCCTTCGATGTCTTTGAAGCTCATCAGATCTCGTGAACCGTTTCCCACAAAATAACCACGTACACACGAAGGGGCGTTCACCGGTGTGCCATCGAAGATGGGCTCTCAGATGGCTGGTTTTACCATATACTTTGTTGCAGCCTGCTATGTGACATATGTGTTGTTTTTTTCGGTCAGTGTGACGTTCGCCTGAAACAATAATTAGTCAATCCATCTTTGTGTTCATTCTTCAACAAAATTTTCTTTTACATAATAGACTTTTAAAATTGTTGAAGTTGTTCTTTTTTAAAAGTAAAATTTTTGAGGTTTTTAACTTATTCGACTTATTCATGGTGATATTGTCAAACACAGCCTGATTAACGGAAAAACAGATTATTTACAAAATGTTCGTTGCTTTTATCAAAAGCTTTTAAAAAGGGGTGAAAATCCAAAAGTGCATGCCGTGAATTTTTTACGAATAATACATTAGAAAATTCGTATAGTTACTCTTTTTTCTGCTAAACTAACATAAATTATAACTTTTGTCGTTTCTGATCAAGAATCTAGTTTTTTTTATCCTTATTTTGAACCTAGATATAGGAATTTGATTTATGGAATAATATTTTTTGTATTCAGTGAAATTCATGAAACTCCAATAATAGTAGAAACTCAACTAAAATGCTTACCTTCTTGACAGTTAGGACATGTACAAGCTACCCTTCTAACCCTCTGCTTCTGCAAACCGTCTTGATTAGGGTCATTTTGCATTGAAGAAGTATTACTATCAATAGGTGAAGAAGTTACTACAACGCTAGGGGTGAGCGGGGCAGGGTTGGCTGGTTGAGCAGCGGCTGTAACATTTGGTATCACCTGCCATTTATTTGGATCATTGGGATCTTGTTGAATGTGTTGTCCTACGGAGATCTGAGGAGCTTGCTGAGTTATCACTTGTACATTTCCGATACCTGAAATATAACCGTTTGAGTTTATTAGAAAGTGTCATTATTAAGAATCTTTATATTTTATTCTCAAACTTGGGGTATTGAATGTTCATTATATTATTAAACCAAAAGCGTAGAAACAATTATTACCTGGTATATTTTGAATGTTTGGTATTGCTTGAATGTTAGGCACTTGAATTATATTTCCTATATTTCCTAGATTTCCCAAAGTTGCGCCCCTAACTTGTTGTAGATTTGAAGCTGGTATAACAGTAAACTGTTGTCCATTGGCACCTGTAAATGTCAGTTGAGGAGCATCAACCTGAAAAGAAATAATTTTAATTGTAGACTTCAGTCTTGAAATCATTTCACATAATCAGAAGACGTTAATAGTACAACTACTGATGAGTAAAATGATTGCTGAATTCAGTATTTTTTGCTGTAAATAAATGCCGGGATAATGTCAACGTGGAGAACACTTACATTGATTATATCTAAAATCTAAATTATGGTAATCAAATACTTACAATGTGGGCAGTGCTTTGTGCCATAGACGTTGGCGTTTGAGGGGCAGCTACACTAGTAGCTATTTGCAGTTGTTGTATTTGTCCATTTGGTGTTAAAATATTTGCAAATTGAGGTGTCTGAATTATATTCGGCATCGGAGAGGACAGTTGAACTGGAAAGTGAATTGTTTGGTATACTGTTTGGCCATTTCCCGTAGAGATTGGCACTTGAATGGGAATGGTTTGCTGCATTGGAAATTGTACCATTTGGGGTAGGTTGGGACGGACAGTGACGCTTTGACCATTAGCCAATTGTACAGTAGGCAGGTTCTGTAGACTCTGTAGATTTTGGAGATTCTGGAGGTTCTGAAGATTAGCCGGGAGAACGCTGGGGGAACGAAGTATTTGACCTTGGCTAAAAATCTGCTGCGGCTGCTGAGCGCCTGCAAAAAAGGCAATGTAAAGATATTTTTCAGCTGTCGACACTGAACTGTTCTATTGAAAACACTTTCCCAACACCAGAACAAAATTACGGTCTCACGACGGTCTCAGGAGATCGTTATGACTGAATTTTACTACCACGTCAGTTATTTTATATGCTAGTAGCCTAACTACTACCTGTCAGTAGTACCTAACTACTACCTGTTATTGTTCCTATGCTAAACTACCTGTACCTACCAAAACTTACTGAAAGGATCAAAATAGAGGGCAGAGGGGACCTCTGAAACTTGAATAGATAAATACGAACGACCGATAAGCAGGATGCATGTTTGGCAATAACGAAATCAATGAAAACCATATAGCTAGAGCTGCATTGGAGTCACTTTTTGATCTTCCTCTTTTATATCTAGTAATAACGGGGGAGAGTGGACAAAATCAGACTGGACACCTCACAGAGTTACATGAGATCGGGCAAAATAGAAATTTCGGCATATCCGCGAAAAGTGAAGAAAAAATAGTCATCCTGAGAACATGCTTGAAACACCTGATATACATGAAATGGGTGCTGGAATTTACTGTGCAGGAAAAAATCTCCATTTCAGTTACCCACTTGGTCAATACAGATCAATCTTCCTGGCTGAAGTGTATGCAATCTTGCAATGCGCAAGGTACATTGATTTGAGACCTCAACCAAATGAACACATCGATATTTTTACAGAAAGTCAGGTTGCTTGGGTAACTGATGAACCTAACAGTAATATCAAGACTAGTCTGGGAAGGTCGTGAAGAACTGAGGAATCTGTTGGCTAGGAATAGATTGACTATATAACTACTACTGGGTGACATGCATCCAGCAAGGTTCCTGTAAAAACTTGTACATTGTACAAGATTGTTGGAATGGGTGTCGTGAAAAGCTACACCAACAAGTAGTTATCAAAGTTCTTATGACGCAATGACTATAATGTAATACTGAAATTAGGTGAATTCAAATACTGGGCAGTTTCTATTGAAAATTCACTAAATCTATTGATTACTACAAAATGTCTAATGCATTTTACTTTTTGGTATTCGAGGAATTTAGGGTTACCTTTATTCATTTCAAAAGGGCGCAAGCTAATATATTTTTCTACAGAAAAAGTGTGATGTCTTGGTGTTTGTTTAATTTATTTCAAACAAAAATAAAATTATTTCAAGGCAAAGACAAGCATCTGAAATTCAAAAGAGCAAGGCTATCTACAAAAAATTATGTGAGTAGATTAAATCCGATGCTAATGGTTATCTTGTATCTAAAATGCTTCCACACAAAATGTAATATTCTATTACAAAGAAAAACATCCGGAAATGAAATAAATTTGACGAATATAATGTTAGATGCACTTAGGAAAATGGAATATTAAAAAAAAAGAACCGACGGGTCACGAACTTCTGTCTCTCAACGTTGAACACAACTTCCTCAGATATAAAAAAGTTACCATGCATTGTCTTTGATTTGAAGATTTGAAGAAGGAGTTTATATGAAAGAATATCGTAATTTGATAACTAGAGTACGTACGTTTTGAAATGAATACCTTAGGATTTTAGGCAGATTCGTCAAAAAAGTATTGATAACGTGGCAATTTTTCGATTTTTGAATGTCGAATCCACCAGATTTACGCTGAAAGGGGCATTTTACTTGATATATTTACGTTATTCTTTTATTGACATTGTAGTTTTCACCAATGAATACATCGACCAATATGTTGACGACTTCAAATCGTTTGAACAAAAATATGTCTTTTTCAGGGCATTTTCCAAAAGTGAACTTATTTGCTTCTTTGTAATCTATATTCATTTTGAGTAGATCTGCTACGTACCTAATAATTAAAAACATATTTCTCTGACATATTATACAATATCTGGAAAACTTGAATAACTGTTACAAACTTAATTCATTATGAATATAAAATACAATTCGAACTATCTAATTAGCAATTACCAAAAACCGGTACCTTGATCTTGTAAGAATGATTGTATTCTGAAGGAAATATCAAAAACCAAAATCTTTCTTTTTGCTTCGTAAAATGGATAAAAGTAAATTCGAAATTAAGTATATACAGAGAAAATACAAGCGCAAACTAAACTAGATACCTGCAATTGACATGGCGGGTATGAACAAAGCTTCTTGTCCGTCCACCGTGACTGTTTGCATTGGCTGCATCACGTTATACGCAAGAGCAGCGTTTTGATTTGCAGCAGCAGCTGCAGCAGCGTTAACCAGCTGCTGGGCTCCGGCTTGTTGTTGCAACAGTTGTTGTTGCAATTGCTGGGGTATGCCTACCGGGACGCTCACTACCTGTGGCCCTGCCCCTACAGGCATAGCTTTGACTGTGCCTGGCGTAGGAGTGGACGACATCGTGGTTGTTGGTGGAGTCTCGCTCGAGGTCGATCCTAGGCGTATGCAAGTCGCAGCCAGTAGCGCCAGAGGCGAAGGGGTTGGTTTGGATTCCTGAAAAATAAAATAGGTTACACTATGCCTAGGAAGAATATAATTGGTAAAGGATCCCGGATCCCCATTAGTCTCACCAACACAACCTGAATATTAGCCGAATATTTAATACCTTCCCCATACGCTTGATGTTTACCCTCACTTCCCTACTTTCCTAGACCTCTATTTCAAAACCATACTGGCTAACAATTATTATAATCAGTAGGAGTATTTGTGTTATTACGAGGGGAAACCGCAGGTGAAATTTTGGTATACAGGTCCGAGGAATTAGAGGAATTACCCGGGAATTAGAGGAATTACTTGGGATTTAGAGGTACTACTCGGGAAATAAAGGATTTAGTTTACATCATTTCTCCAGCGGTTTGCCCCTCGTTTAATTATCTAATAAAATATATATCGTTTATGTTTAATGTTTTATCAGAATGTTGCTCAGAATATATATTTGATATAACTTCATGTGGATCCAGGAGCAATAGAAATATAGTTCCTCATTATTTAGATATTATTTCATACATATTGTCCTAACAGTTCAGATAATTTCAAGAAATCATTTCTAATCCTTCAAATTTTATAGTTTCTTATGGTATCATTTCACTCCATGTATATCTGAATCTGAGGAAACACTTGAGGAAACATTTAGAGAAATAAAAATAAAAAAACACATGGAATTGATGAAATATCAGTAAATGTATTAGAAAAAGCCCTTTTTGCTCTGGCAGAATCAATTAATGTCTCATTTTCAATTGATGTATTGCCGGATGTGCTGAAAACTGCTATAAAGATTCTAATTCACAAGGGGGGTGAATTAGATGAGTCATGCAATTTTCGTCTTATTTCACTAATATCTGCTTTGTCAAAGGTGATAGAGAAGTTTGTAAAAAGGGTTGCTAACATTTTTGTAAAAGCACAATACCTATACTGAGTAGCTCACAGTTTGGTTTTCAAAGATCCAAAAATACAATTGATGCTATCTTTGTCACAGAATCAAAATTCTAGTCTCTCGAAAATAACCGGTGGAGTCCCCAAGGATCAGTGCTCGGCCCTATTTTGTTCCTTATCTATGTGAATGACCTATCTAATATCGATATACAAGGGAAGTTTACAATGTTTGCACACGATACAACCTTACTATGGCATGGAAATGATGAAATGATACAGACTCTCTGAAAAATATAAATGAGGCTAATTTAGAGAAAGTCAAATCTTGGTGTGATTCCAATTCTTTAGGTTTCAATTTGAATATGACATTTCGTTTAAATTTGTTTCTGGAAACCTAAGCCTCCAGAATAATGTCATCGAAAATAAGACGTTCACCAAATTCTTGGGATTATGGATTGACAATACCCTGAAGTTTGATGAACACTTCAAATATCTGAACAAAAAACTTGCATCTGGTTGCTGTGCTATCAGGGTCATCACCAAGGGGTTGGGAATAGTAGCAGAAAAACATAATATTTTTCAGTTAACTAGTTTAGTGATCCAATAATTTTTCTGAAGAAAGGTTGGTTGGGTAAAAGGATCGATTTTTTCTTTAAAAAACAATTGCTTTTTTGCCTAAGTTTCGAATTTAATTAAATTCTTCTTAAGGGCTCGAAAAGTAGTTTCTTCGTGTTGATAATATTACTACCTATTTTAAAAACATATTAGATACATATTAAGAAAAATAAAAAGCATAGCAACAACCAAATTTCATGTCGTTTTGTGTTGACAACATCAACACAAAACGACATGAAATTGGATTGTTATTACTCGACAATATACCTATAGAGGTAATCACAAAGATAAATATTATTTGTGTAAATAATTATTTCCATAGAGTTAGATTAGATCTAATTACGTAATTGAACATGTTTCAAATAGCTATAAAACTTGGTAGGTGGAATATGAAGTCTGAAGAGAAAAGAGTTGGCGAAAATACAGATTTTTTCTGTCGTAATAACATAAACAAAGAAGAAAAACAAAGGTTTAGGAAAACTTACAAAAAGATATTGGATATATTGGTGCAGGTAAATGCAAGATAACAAGACAAATTAATTATTGGTATTTTCAAGTAATTATAAAGCAAAATAAATTGCAATCAAGTCCTACAAATTGATGAATAATTTTTGATCCCAATGACGATGCATAAGGAAAAGATCTGCCTATGTTTGATTGGAACAAAAGTAATTTGATATTTGAGAAAATCAAATTATACTCGTATTACTGGGGATCTCAATTGAAAAAGAGGTAATAAGAAAAAAGTGGTACATACTCCTATAGTACCTATATCGAGGCTTATAATAGTAGCCTGTTGAAACCATCCAGTGCTAGATCTGTCGATTTACCAGTCTGGTACGCATACTGACGGGAACTACCCAAGAGGTCTTTTCTTGAGCGTTTGTTTGGTCTCTCATATATCGATCTAGCAACCTTTCTATATGGTTTTATTCAGAAAAAACGTTGACTGTTGTGTCTGGTCTGATATTTTTTCTATTTTGGACAGCAAGACTGCTTTCATTTGTTGCCATGCATGTGGAATGTATTCCCAGGCCACACAGCGTACCTATACTGCTCAGATGTAGTATAAGCAAAACCCTTTTGTAGTAGAACTGGGTAGTAGGACCATCCACTCCTGGTGATTTGTACGGATGAAATTTTCGGATCGCCCATCTGATCTTGTCGGCTCTCCTGGAGTCAGCGGCTAGTTTCCAATATCCTGCTATACCTTTTTGGGAGAGATCCAATTCCGCCACAAGGCCTCAAGTTCAGATGTCGCTGAAAAATGGGCCGTGTTTATTAAGCCTGAAGCTTTCCCTCCTCTGTTTCTGTGTTGATTTAATCTTTTTTTTTTGAGAAAACTAATTCTACTGGCAGTACACCTGCATAAAGTTTTTCATTACAATTTTGTTTTCAGATTGTGGAACGTGGAAATTACCAACAATCCAAAAAATTCAATAAAAAGTGAATTTTACATCGTTTTATGAATTTTTAATCCAAATTAGCGATAGCTTTGTCTAATATTCCACGTACTGAAATAATGAAATTGTCAGATATCGGAGTGTAAAAATGGAATATAAAATCTAATGTTTTGGCGTCTTCCTAAGGGGAGACGTCATCACCTTTACTTTCTGTGGCTTGTCTTCTGACAGTGTTTATCCAATAATGCATTCGTGGTCCAGCCCAGCACCACTGATGACACCTATGGTATACTGAAACAACGTTGGCTGGTGTTGTATTACGAATGCTTTGTTTTTGGACTCTGCAGCTTTCCACTACTTGTAATGTTTTGACAGAATAATTACCTAATAGTGTTGATGTTTTTTATAAAATCGACCCAAAATCGCAACCTGGGTTTTTCACTATTAATACATTTCAAAACTGAAAGCAATTTTCTATTATAAAATTCGGTTGGTAGGAGCAGTAACCACATCTTTTCGTTTTCGTTAGTTTGTCGACTTATATCGGATGCATAAATTAATAAAGCATGTGTATTCTTCCATCGCCTGGATGGTAATTCATTTTTATGTAGTCATTAAAATGAATATTGTTGTTTAGAAACAAGTGAGTTGACGTAATATATTTTTGACTCAAAAATCCGCCACTATATATCTGAAAAATTAAAATTATTGGTAATCAAAGATGAAATGAAATCCATTTCTTATGAAAAACCATGTAAACTCCTTTCCTATATATTCAATGCACTCTTCGACTCGTATCATGTCCTCATATTTATATTTTTACTGCCTTCTTACAAAAAATTAAAAGTTTTTGACGCGCAAGGGATTGTCTCACTTCTTGGTAGAGACAAGAATAAACTGAACTCAAAGATTGTAATACAAGAACATAGAGAAAACAAAATCTGGGCTGATAGGCCGTGGTCAATGGAACTTCTATTACAGAACGTTTTGTCTGCTACACCATCAGTGGTATGTGCGTTGACTGCGAGGACGAAGGTTATATCCCAGTCATTGCTGAGACTTTGAAAACAGTTTTTTTTTGCTTGATATGATTGTTATTTTTCAGCTAATCTTTTTATTTTCTACAGGGATTTCAAATCAATTTATATCGTATTAGATTAGATAATGGAAGTCCGAACTAATGAAATGCACCACGAAACATTGTCAACCACCTTTAAACAAAATTTAGTATCTATGTTTGATGAATACAGACTGATAAATTTGATACTTTTTGAAAGCAATTATTTTATCGAAGCTTTCTGGGCTCTTACAATTTTTATTTTGTACTGAAAACATTACCAGATCAAATTTTTGATCGAATGATCAATTATTCCATCAGCAACAAACTATATCATTTATATTAAGTGAGTAGTTTTTCAAAAACAATTTGAATATCACCTTCGGTAAGTTTATTCTGATCAAGAACATTTTTAAATAAGTACCCAAAAAGAATTGGGTAGGTAGATAATTCTCGACATAAAATACCTTAAAAACAATATAGATGCTGGTTTGATCTGGATTAGTATGAAGTTATTCATAAATTTTCATCCTCAACTTCTGATGTAGAGACAATCTATGGTGAGTTCATCAATTCTTACTAGAGTAAAAAAATTAATTTCATCAGAAGTCCGTAAAAATTGAAATAATGTATGATACTATGATTGGTGCTCTTATATTCACAAATGCCTCAAACTGTTTTTTCTCGACAACTAATGCAAAATAATAATCAATATATACATAGTTGATAAAAAAAAAATATGTTTAAAACCGAAAATCTGTAGAAGTCGCTTTTTGACAATCGTGAATTCATTAAAATGTAATTTTTCACACCACACATTATATCGAGTGGTCCAACGAAAAGTATGCACCTTGCTTTTCTCCTTTTTTTGTAACTTAACGCAAAAATGCTCGGACAGGTTAATTTTACTTTTGAGGGACACACATTTTAGATGTATTTTTCTACCTGTGCCTTCAACCCCCTAGCGAGGGTGAGTAACAACCCTAATATTTTAAATGGAAAGTGGGGTCGAGTGATATATCATTTGAAAGGGTAATTTGTTGTATTTACTTGAATAGTTATAAAAAAAGCAAGAACATTTACTCGATATTTTTGGTGTTAATGAAAATGCGGAAAAAACAGCATTTTTATCACTACTACATTCATTCCTCAATTTCTCTCGTGCGTTTTTTGGTTCAAATAACAACAGCAGATAAGTGTACAGAAAATAATGAAAAATGGTGGATTGTGAATTATAGAAAATATTTTTTCTCAGTAATCGTGAGTGCTTGTTCACGAGACCTGGCTTTAATTATAATGCATTATAAATAATTATACGAGATTGAAACGAAAATACGTGGAAAACGATTTTTGATCGAAAATAATGAAAAACAGTGGATGGTGAATTATAGAAAATATTTTTTTCTCAGTAATCTTAGAGTGCTTGTTCACGAGAATCCCCCTTGATCCCCCCCTGGCTACGGCCTTGTCGGAGTGAATTGATACTTTTCAATCGAATATACTACCGAGGACAATAGAAGCCTCAAGCTGGTGCTGGTACTGGAACCTTATAAATTTCAATACAGAATTGAATTTGTTTCTTGGAAATCACGACTCTGAATCTCGAAATTTCGACTTTAATCTCGAAATTTCGATTTTGATCTCGTGATTTTGAAATATCGACTTCAAACTAGAAATTATGTCCTTAACCTCGAAATTAAGACTTTTTAACTCGAAATTACGAGATTAAAGTTGAAATTTCAGGTAACATTTGAAGAATAAATAAATTAAATTCGATTTCGGACTGAGTCCTAGACTACGATTTTTAAAATTTTCCTTCACAATACCTACAGAGATAGATAAGTGGTAGGTACTTCAACAAAAGAACAGAAATACTTTGTCAAATAGATAAGGAGATATCTCGGGAGCTAGGTATGTTTCTACCTACCTATACATAATGAAACATATGCATACTCTACTTTCAATTTAATCTTGGTAGATAATATTGACAAATTTCGATGGGTGTTACCTACATAGTAGGTAGGTACTTACGTATTAATTACACCCATCTCCTTGCTGTCAATTTAATTGTTCAGATTATTTCCTTCAGTACCTAAAAATATTGGAATGTTCAGGGTAAAACAACAATATTTCAGCATTTTTTAGCGCTTAGATACATAAACCTATTTAACCGAAGAAAAAAATAAACATAAAACGCTGTCAACATCAATATTTATGACATATTTCCTGACTGAATTAGGTATACTCGAATATAACCCTTGAATATTTATGAATTTTACACCTTTTATTTCACTGTTCTAGATCTTATTGAAAAAATATAGGAGTACATGAAAGAAGTTAACATTGTCCATTCAGTTTTATTTTTAATCTCACAAGTTGTCGACCTCAAGTTTTTTCAAGTGCGAAGACCCCCAGCATGCAAGAAAATTATAACAGCAATATTTTAATGACTATTATTGGACGTGGAGCGCCAAAAAAACACACCCATAAACTAACTCAATAATAAGAGTTCTGAACAGCCATCCGACCTCTATACGCCGTACATGAATGTTCGACCTCCTCCTATCTAAACCGGGACAAAGTAACTCCCACAGATAGTGTGTGTGGTGTACCGCCCGCCCCTGTATTTGACAGAATTGGGTGTTTTTGAAGAAAACTTTACTAACCTGCGTAGAATTTTCAATGTACTCCACTCGAACTTCTGCCACTTCAGAAGTCATTATTTTCCAAAAGTAGATTAAATAACAAGTGCATTGTTAACTACGAGTCGTTTCTGCTGTGTGAACCGTTCTTACACCAGACACAGGCACTACACGTAAATCGATGGTCACTTTTATGTCACAAAACTATTTCACTTTAGTTTCAACTATTTAGTTAAATTAGCTTCTTGGACAATGCTAATTGACAAAGTAACCAATTGGGCGTGATAAATTTGGTTCAAAACTCCCAACGCTGGCTAAATTCAGAGTTACAGGCTGGGCAAACAAGGCACAAACCACGCCATTCTGGGACTGGCTTTGGTGGGGGGAGTATAGAGAGAACGGCTGGCGACCGGCGACGTAACCGACTGCATTACTGTACCATAGGCGGGGGTACGATGCGGCCAAACTTGAAACGATTTACTGGAATTATTTGGAGATTTGTTCAGAATACAATTGTCATTCATAGATCACTTTAATTAGAATGTGACGAATGACTTATAACTACAAAAGCGCAGGAGAGCCACACATTTTTATTATTTGTTTCTTGGAAATTACGATTTTGAATCTCGAAATTTCGACTTTTATCTCAAAATTTCGACTTTTATCTCAAAATTTCGACTTTTATCTCGCAATTTCTACTTTAATCTCGTAATTTCGAAAATACAACTTCAAACTCGAAATTTTAACTTTAAAATCGAAATTTCAGGATTAAAGTCGAAATTTCAAGATTAAAGTCGAAATTTCGAGATTCAAAGTCGTAATTTCCAAGAAACAAATGATAAAAATATGTGGCCCTTCTGCGCTTCCGTATACAACTCATCAATTGAATTGAAATAATAAGTTTTATTAGTGTTGTCTAATGTGTACTCAGCAGTAAATTAAGTTAGCTCATTTGACACATATATTACCAAGTTCATCGATGTTATATTATATAAATTTGAACCCTCAAAATATTTCAATATTGGCTACTTGATATATTAAGAAAGTTTTGTGGATAAACTTTGTTGTCCTTCCCAGCGCCATTAGATGATTATAAAAATAATTATTTTAGAAGATAGGTACCTATTGCTGTTTTGAAGAATCATCTTGGTTTGCGACGATATTCGATTAGGATAAAAGTGGTGGCCTAATTTTATATTTTGTTGGTGGTAACTGAAATATAATTATGTACTGATGACTAGAACCCACTTCGGAGGCAAAATTTCGGGAGTGTGTTGCCCCGGAGCGAGAAAAGTACTATCTTTTGTTGAGCTATTTGTCTTTTACCTAATCGCAAATATATATTATATATTTAGAGTTTTTTTCTTATCCTATGGTTGTTATTAACAATTTCAACCAACAAAAATTACCAAAGTAACTGCTGGAACCTGGAAACGTCGTAAACAAAAGTCGTATTAAAACAAATATCCCTGATTAACGACGACCACGATAGGTATGCGTATGCGATGCGTATTCCATGCAATGAGTAATCATAATTATCAAAAGTCTTCAGACATGTTGTTATTTCTGTTTCTTGACTAAATATCATTCAAATACTGTAACCGCGACTCCATACTGTACCTACTTGTATTTTCTACTCGAAATACCAATTTTTAGAATAAAATCCCAAATTTAAATAATACAAATTCCGCGAAAATATTCAGGCGTGTACAATTTTTTTATATTGGTAATTCCAATTTCATTTTACTTCCTCAATACATTTCAAATTCAAAATATATTTATTTTCTTTTGTTCAAAAATCTAGTCAGTAAAATAAACATATATACCTACCTCCCCAGTTCAACGGCCCATCAGGGTATCCTTGTAATATATTGCCACATTTATTACTTTCATAACATACCTATTATTTGTTTCTGCAAGTATGTATTTACCTATTGCAAGCCCACATATTTCCACAGCAGGTGGAATAATAATTTATAGTGTACCGCTACTGATCACCGCTAAGGGCTTTCTCCTGTGTCAGATGTTTCCTTGGAACTAGCCGCGGGCTAAGGGGCGTCAGCGGTCTATATTTGCGTCCTCCTACCGTTCCCCTCGTTGTACACCCGTTGTACTTGTTGACCCTTGTCCTTCTTTGGTTATTGAACACAAATAATGGGTTAGATTCAAAACTGTCCTTTTTTGTTATACCAAAGGATTCTAGTCATATTCACATTAAAATCATTCTCTCAAGGTATAGTCGATACCTGTGATATGCTAAATAGTCGCTGTTTCGCGATCGGTATCGTGTTACCTCAGGTACATCGACAGATAGTTGAGCATCGTCCCCAAGTTCTGGGGCTGGTCGTCTCGCGGGGGTGTGTGCAGGGTTACGCCCACCGCCTTTGCAACGCACCTTCTTGTGCGAAATTAAAACAAGTGAAGACCTAAGATTTGACTTAGTTTCGATTTGTACGTGATTGAGAATGAAAGTGTCTCCTTAGCCTCTAGTGATCCCGTACATTATTTCATAAAAGTGCTGTCAGGAGGATTAAATGTTTTGTATGTGTGTTTTATTTTGGTATGCTGTTAATGGAGTGATTCTACAGGGTGTCACACTTATATCTAAACTAACAAAGCCTTTTAGTTTTTGTGAGACTAAATCATTTGGTTTTTATGTTGACAATAGGGGCTAATTGTAAACTGTAGGTAATTGTATCTAATATCGTTTTCTCATAAATTATTTTGTATCTATAAGGTAAATTCATCATTTTAATTTATTTTACATATTTGTTGTAAATCTTCTGAAATACTGGATATTGAAGCATTCTTCAATATCCACTTTTGAAGCGAAATGTTGAAGGTAAATGGAGAGCAATTATATTTTCAATGGTACCAAAACTGCTACTCCAATGGTACCGAAACTCTACTTTCAATGGAGTAGCCCTCTGTTGTTGAGAATATGATTTCGACCAACATTAGACAGTTTGTAAACCAAAATACTACAGTTTTGTACTGGCTAACTGCTTTACAGAGACTAAAAGTACCATTTCTGCAAAAATTATATTATCTAGGGCTCTAGGGATCAATATAAACCTAATAGATTCCATAATACCCCTCCCCTCAATCAAATATACAAGAAATATGTCTACATTGATATGTTTTTACCGCCAACCTTTTGGCTCGAGCCACCCGTAGAAGTCTTGAGAGGACTTGTGCGAGTTGAAAGGAGTTGAGAGTCCTCTTCTTCAGATATAGGCAAGAACAACAGTAAAATATACTGGAACCTTTTTTCAGCAGCTTTCCCAACTTGCCTATTTTGGAGTTTATATGTAGGTGAGCAAATCCCAACCAGATCGACTTTTATTCAATACGACTCTGAAAATTTTCTCCAAAAGTTTTTTTTTACTTTATAATAAACTGTCAGTTGATACTGTACTGACCCATTTTGACTTTGTTGTTAGATCATATGTTGAATAAATTAAATAGGTACCTTAATATTCACACGATTATATTTTTTGTTATTCTTCAAAAATTTCTTCGTAATTTGAAATAATTATATAATCATACATAAGGATGCAATCCACCCTTATATGGGGGTAATTTACTCCTGCGACTTTTTGCTGACAAAAGCCTTCCCATCGGAGTATTTCGATCAAACTCCATGACTATACCTATCTCTCCTTTCATGTTATTTTTACCATCAATGAGAAGAGTGAACTACCTTTTCGAAGTTTAGGTTAATCTAGGCATTTTTCTTAAAACATATTTTTCTGGCTAAAGCCTTGAATTTACCTATTCCTTTCGGGGGTTGTGTAAGAAAAACAAGAGTAGGTAAACCACCATCAAAAGGGGTAGCAACATTTTCATTGGTGGCAGTAATAACATACTATTAATAGAGCTTTGAAGGCCTCAATCAGCATAATATCATGAAAAACTACTGGAGTGAACTACCTTCCGAGAGGAGTAGATTCAATTCTGCTCATCGGCGGGCAATAGAAACTTATCGAGAACTTTTGAGAAACATTGGGAAGCTATGGATCGGCAAAAAATATTTTGAAAAATCACAACAGTAAACTACACTCATATAAGAGTAGGTATATTGCATTTTTATGCATGCGGTAACAGGTCAGAAAATTATCCAATTAACTACACTGGTAGAAACATCTGGTATACACAGAGGTCGAAAACCCAACATAGGGTCGTCTTCCAAAGGGAAGTGTATGCAACCCAAGAGTGAAATTATACTGGATGTCTGGAATTTCAGAAATCATATACTTAGGTAACGGAAAAGCTGATGTGTTTGCTATATTCAGTTTCATATATTATTGGCCCTGAACCAGCTGTGGAAATGGGTCGATGAAGAAACTTGAAGATTATTGGAAAACATCTAGGAACACCTCAATTATAGGCATGCAACAATGGAATAGAGGCAAGCAAAGTAATTTATAAACAATATGAAAAACATCCAACGAAGCACTTGGGAGTAAAAACGCAATAAGCCTATGAGGCTGCAGTTTTTTCGAAGACATGGAAAAAATTAAAAAATCGGACGTCTCCCTAGTAGAATTGGCGTCCACCAGTTACATTTTTGCATTTAGTTTTTTCTAAGGTATTCATAAATTTGTTCTCTGGGCCTTCCAGGCTTTTTGATAACTGATGTCTAATGTTAATAACTTGCTGGGACCCAGTGCCAGTTCAGAAGAAGAAAAACGCTGGGAATCGGAAACGGACCATATTTTTCTTAATATCCGACAAGATACAGCTGCCGGACTAAGTCATATCCGGTGAAATTGTCATACACCGACCCAAACTTCACGCAGATCGGTTTCTCCCACCGGCCATGACTAAGTCCGGTAGCTGATGTATAATAAATACCTACCTATACAGTTTGCATGAAATTTTAATTAGAAGATCCTAAGAAAAGTAAGCTTAATTATGTCTTTGACTTTTTTGGAGCGGATGAATATTCTTATTTCTCGCATTAAATCAAATGACTTTTCGAGGACTCTCAATAGTTAAATAATCACAAACTTCGTAGGAAGGGAAATAAGAAAGCCAAGGTATTAATGCAACTCTAGAAAATAGTTTTCATTTATTCAAAGGTATAATATAAAAAAATTTGTGATGTAAGGAGGTGAAAGAATTCAACATTTACATGATGATATTATTACCTATTAAAAATTATTAATATGGTATTTATAATTTGATGAACAAAAATATTGAAGTTTTAAAAATATATGAAATGTTTTGGATTTTTTCTGAAATTTTTGGTATAAATTTTGTTCAATTAGAATTAATACAGTTTTGTTTTTTTTTCATGGTTTTAGACTATTTATAATTAGAATTATTTCAATACTACGTCTTATGTCAAATATTTCCTATACTTTTTATATAGTTATATAGCGGCTAGGTATATCATCTGCCAAGGAGAAATGTTTATCAGTCAATTTTTTTAATCGTATATAACTACTACAGTTATTAACTATCTATCACCAGCCTGTTGAATATGATTTTGAAAATAATTTTGATTGATTTTAGAATAATTTTTTGAATAAGTTTTAAAAAAATTCAAAGTATCCAGTTATCGGGCGATGTTTCAAAATAATAACAATATTTGTCTTTTATTATCACATTTCGACGAGTTCATTTGAATGAGAACTTTTTCGGTTCCATAACGAATGTTTGTAGTAGGTACAAACTAAATAGAAAAAAGCAGTTTTTATGCGATTCAGTGTAAGTAGGTATTTATGTGAATGTAGTTGTTTCGAGAGAGTTTTTTTTTAGTTTGTATCTGAAAGATACACAATCATAATCATATTTTGAATATAGTGTTTTATTGTAGTTGTTTTTTTTTCATTCATTTGGAAGTTTCCCACATTTTTGGGTCAATAATAGAGAAGTAGAAAGCCAAAAAGCTTGTTTCCCGAAAAAAAATTTTCTCCTAAGAATATTCCCTTTTCAATTCTAGGTTTTAAGTATAATGATGTGGGAGAAAAATTAATAACAATCGATTACGATTAATAATGATAGGTTACGCAACATAATGAAGGATTTCACGAATTTTGGACGAGTTAATCTGGATAGGGGGGAACGTTTCGAAGACAATTCACGAGCTTTCCACTGTGGCGGTGAGAGATATAGAGAGCAGTTCAGTGTTTCAAGTTGACTTCTTGTCTTTGAATGAAGTTGTTAATGTTTTAAGTGTACCAGACTTTTTAAAAACTAGGAGCCATTTAAGTGCTGTTTGGTGAATAGGTACACGAGCAAATAATTACGATGATATGGTAGCAACACAAAGAAGAATAGGAACAGTGGCATATAACAACTTCCTTTTTTCAATTGTAATACCTTGTATATAATTCAATTTTTGGATTCTTCATAATTCTATATAGACATATTTCATGTACGATATCCTATAGGTACCTATCTTCAAATTCGATTACAGAAATTGCCTACAACAAACTCAAAAACGAATAAGCCATATTCCTTGATAATTCAAAAAACAAAAACCTCAATGTTAATGTAGGAGGTATTCAAAATGCTCGCCGTAAAAGTCTTGGCAATGTCCTAATACTAAATAGAAATGTCTTTTAATGTTACTCAACATTTCAGATGTTATTGCAAGCGTTATTGGTCTTCTCACGCTATCTTAGTCGAGGGGTTTAGTTTTGTGTACTATACTTTTGTAATGGCTTCAGATTAGGGATGATCGTGCTGGTCATTTCATCGATCCTCGCCTGCCTATCCACCGATTTTAAAATATTCGGTTAGGATACCCCCCCTTACCCCAATTGGGGTCATTTGCAAATGATGAACTCGTTAGTGAATTTTTTTTTACAATAAGATTTTTAAAAATATTATAATGTAAGCACTTCAACTCCTTCCTATGTAAAATATTTTGATGAAAATACTCATCGATCTAAAGAGATCCAACGTACTTCGGCATTCCATTCACAGAGGTGCTAAGCGCATACTAATTTACATTTGGTAACAATTTTTGGTCCATCTATCAACAAGTATCCAAAATAGGGTCAATAAAGATAAACGAATTTATAGTTACATGTGTCAATTAGTTTACAGTTACTCATAATAGTGAACATAGTACCTATACTGATGAAGGTAAGATTAAAAAAGCAATTTTCAAATTTATGAAAACGTCGTAAATTTAAAAAAAAACTTGATATCACTTCTGTTTGTTTATATCGTCAACTTTGATCTTGAAAAATGTATGAAATTATTTCTATCCTCATTTATTTATAACAGTTGAGTGAGTTTATCCAGCGAAGAATTCACGCATTGATATCATTTGAAATATAGTCTGCGAAAACGCATTAAGTATACGTAATCATCTGATTATGTCCAATATAAGTCTGATAAGTTTTATACCGTTGAGTAAAAAAACTTTAAAATGATGAATGAGTTATCTGTATGTTCCGGAAATAACCACTTCTTGACCGCTACTAACTAGAATTTCTAACACCGGTTACTTTTGAAACAAGACCGTTGTGTCATTACTTGTCAAGTCTGTTATTTTCGAAGTGGAAACTGGAAAGTATACACAATGACCATACATTTTCTAATTACTGATCTTTTACTAATTAAAATGAATATTGAAGTTAGCTACTTCTTTTCAAGAGATACTTCTTAGTATTGATGAATCGTCGCCGAGGAAGATGAAAATTACAAAGGACATTGAAGAATTTCGTGAACTGACGATCAATATCATTACTATTCTTATGATAAAATAAATGAATGAGTGATTGTAAAAAACGGATCCATTTTTTTTGAGATTTTGAGTTACATCTTTGTGTTCTCTGAGAGTGGATGCACATTTTCTGCCATAACTCAATTCTTGTCATCCTCCGACCTCCAAACTTAAATTGAGGTTAGCTTAAATTTTAGTGCATGATTTGTGTATCATTGTGTAAACAAGTACTGAGTGATTAGTGTCTATTTCGCAGAATTGATTCAACTGGATCTTCCTTTTTTTATCCCAAGTGGGAATGGACCACTCCTAAACAACTAGTGAACCTTTTGACTGGATAGCCCCTATAGTTTAGGCCATTACATGAAGAATAATAAGAAGAGGGAGTTGTCGAAAGTCAAAGTTGGTGATTTTTCATATTTCTTCAACAAACGCAAACGAAATCCATTTCCAAGACATTTCTTTGGTACATTGGATATATGAGAATTAAATATTTGCTGAAAACGTCGTGAATATGACGGTGATTAATAAAGTAAGAAATATAAAGTTTTTATAATCAAATATATCTTAAAGTAGAGATAATTCTTTTGTTATTTTCAAAATGTCATATATATGCCTTTCTTGGAATAAAAATTTTCGTTAACATGGGACAAGGAGTCTCATTGAAACATTCAAATGGTTCACCAAGAAAAAAGAAACGCATATCAATTATACAAAATGATATCCAAGATTCTGAAAAACTTGGAGATACTCTTACCAATACTCAAGTACTTGCACCTGCCCTTAGCTATAGTTCGAACTAATATTTTCATATTTAATATTTCCAGATGGAGATTGACGGTGCCACTAAAGGCGAAGGCTTCAGGTCTTACTACATAACTAAGATAGAGGAGTTACAACTCATAGTTGCCGAAAAAAGCCAAAATTTACGTCGTCTACAAGCACAAAGAAATGAACTAAATGCAAAAGGTTGTATGATTCATTATACATCTTATTCTATTATCTTAATGATGATCATAACTGGCCTCTCAAAATAGCCTCAGTAATCTTATTCAAAAGTTGCTATTGCTTCTGATTTTTCTATTATAAAGTTTAAAGATGCTTCATGAAATGGTCATTTGAAAAATTAATATTTTTAACTAATTTTCAACCTAATCGTATCCAACCTTCTTTAACTATTTTGAAATCAATTAATTAGAATATTATATTATATAGTTCGAATGTTGAGAGAAGAATTAATGCTGCTTCAAGAACAGGGGAGTTATGTTGGTGAAGTAGTTAAACCAATGGACAAAAAGAAAGTCCTCGTTAAGGTGCATCCTGAAGGAAAATTTGTAGTAGACATTGACAAAAACATTGACATTAATGATGTGACACCAAACTGCCGAGTTGCATTGAGGAACGAGAGTTATACTTTACATAAAATTTTACCTAATAAAGTAAGTATCAGATGCTAATCCTTATGTGGTGGTCACCATGTTTCTGAACCTATCATCATGAATTATTTGTTTCTTTTTAGGTCGATCCCCTTGTATCTTTGATGATGGTTGAAAAAGTACCTGATTCAACTTACGAAATGGTGGGAGGCTTAGATAAACAAATAAAAGAAATCAAAGAGGTTATCGAATTACCTGTGAAACATCCTGAACTATTCGATGCCCTTGGTATAGCACAGCCCAAAGGGGTGCTTCTTTATGGACCACCAGGTGAATTGATAATTCTAGTTTGTTAACTTGGGTAAAAACTTTGAAATTGTACAGAAAAAAATATTTTCTATTATTGGATGTTTTTTTTAAATTACAATGAAATTAGAGTAACTGTACTGGCTTTCACTGGATCTCTGCTTTTTTTCTGAGGTGAACCAGTCTCTAAAACTTTTTACCACTCCTCTAATTTTTGACATCTTATTTTATAGAATATGCAAGAATTTTATAAGATTTAACAAATAATGATATTTTAAAAAATGGTCAAATTCTATTAGTTCAAGAACAGATTACATGTTTGTAAAAATGCTTAGTAGTATCAATTGCAGATGTAGTATTTTATGACTTTACCATTTTAGAACTATTTCAGTGGTCGCTTATATAGTACTGAAAAAAACTTTTCAGTTATCAGCCTGCAAAAAATGTATCTGTATGGTTTGAAAGGAACTCCTATAAAACTTACAAAGTCCTATTTAACTAACAGATGGCAGAATGCTATCGAGATGAGTCCTACTGGAGAATTGTCCTACTGAAAAATGACTGTCATTATAGGGGTCATTCTGTGTTGAATCAACACTTATACTAAACCTCACTATCTCAGAATTTGATGAAACTTTTGCGCATTTGTATATTTTATATACACTAAAAAATTTATGAAGTTTTAATTTTTTATGTTGACCCATTTTTGAATCATAGCTATTTTCTAGTTTCTAAAATCACCTGAAATTGTACTGCAGGCATTTACTTTAATTGCAATTACTCGACTCTTAATTATATGCAATACATGAGGTTTCAAAAAAGGTATTTTTTATTCTCAGGAGTATTCCACTGTATCGACAAGCTATGTGCAAGTTTTAAAAATAGAGTTGTGATGGGTTCTAAATTAAAACTATTTGAATTTAATTGTAACTTCCAAAATTTCAACTTATATATTAAAAACTTGAAAAGTAAAGAAAAACAGGAACACTCCTATATGAAATTATATATGCCACTCAATACAAAAATTATTTTTTCCATCTGTGCCATTGCCTTGATAACTTCAATTAATTTTGAAGCTGAATCTGTTTTTCCATTAACC